ATAGAAGAGATTAAATGGCCTCCCAAGTCTCCAGATTTAATGCCTAAGAACTATTTTCGATGGCAGTACTTGAAAAACCGGAAACATTGAGAAGTTGCCACAACCAATACACAGAAGTGAACTTTCTTTCTGATCTAATATATCAATTATTTTGAAGTCAACAGTTTAAAACTGAACATAGTTTTGCATCCTCGCATCATGAATCATCACGCAATGTTAAAAATAACTCATATTATAATAATGATTGGTTTGGGGCTGATCAACAAATCCAAACCGCACATAATAGAAAATTAAAGTCAAATTGAAGCAGTTACCCATAAAAAACCGGTGATCCACATGATATTACACAACGTGGGCTTTATATTCTATTCCATATTCTATTAAAATAACCGCAAATTACACTATTTATTAGCCGAGAAATAAGTTTGGAAAACCTTCGACACATTAATTTTGAATCTCCAAATGCGGGGTTTTCTGAGTGGGGTTTAGTGTTTCCCTTTCCATCTAATTCAGTAGACTTTAAGTGACGACGCCGAACTGAAATCGGTGATTTATGGTTCCACAAGAATCTCTAATAAGTGTCAGCAACTACAACTGGTACCAATTGACAGTTTTTTTATTTTTTTCACAAACGCTAGCCAACAATTGATCAAATAGTAAGTAAAAACGTAATCCCAAATTAACCATTTTATTCATTCTATATGCGTTCATTGACGACTACTCAAGCGGCTCATTTAAGTCAACCTTCAATTTTTTCCTTCTAGCTATGGCCTGATTAATAGGCAACATATCAAGGCGGTTATTACCAGTTAATTTTGACCGTTTTTGCAAAAACGCTTGCACCTTGTTAACTTGCATGCTTGTTTTCCAGGTCGCAGCTTAAAAAAAATTGATTTTTTCCAAAATGCTTCTACTGCTGCTCCTCCTGGTTGCAGTAGCATGTCGAGAAGCTACCGCTAATCCCATAATAACGGAGCGTGAAGACAAAGTGATCCAGTCATGCTCCAGTCCAATTTATTGCCAGGGCGAATTACTGGACGTGATCCAAAGGGCGAAAATCTTCAATGACTCCAAAACGTTTGTTGATATGAGTCAACTGAATCCCGTTGAAGTAACATTAGAAAACTTCTGGTAAGTTTTGAAATTTTCATTAAATTCATTAAATTCATGTCGTACAGTTTGGGAAAGTGAGTTAGTTGAAGGAGTTTTTCATCTATTTTTGTGTACAAATGCAGCATTTTGAATCGTACAAATTTTTCATTTCAAGACTTAATGTGCAACATTTGTACAACTCATTTAATTAAACCTTTAATGTTTCAATTATTTATTAATGTTGCTGTTCTAAAACACATCGCAAATGTAGCATTGAATGGCAAAATTGTTTGGTAGAACTCATTTTCCTTTAAATGCATTTTATCCGTATTAAGGTTTCCCATAACTAACTTAGCTGCAAATACTTAGAATTGCATTGTAAACTGCTGCATTTTGATTGTTATTAACTGCATTTTTACCTTGAAGTAATTAATCTATTGTTTCTGTCGCAATAAAAAATTCAGACACGAAGTTAAAATTAAATTGCAATAAATCGAGTTTTTCCAAATACATACAGCGCTTTAGTTCGATGAAAATCATAATAAATGGTCGGTTAAATTATATACAGTGTGGCCCAGGATCAAAGTAACACGAGGCGGGAAAGGTTAAAAAAACTAATATATTTTTTGATGAATTTCATATCCAATTAACAAGTATTTTCGTTGAACTTTTTGTGTTTATTTCGGGCTGCACACTGTATTTTTCGCGTATTTGGTTAAWTTTTTCAAWCATTKATATAGTTAGAATAAAGTCTTATAAGAAGATATTGCAGGTTGCTCATGAATGCCAGTGACAGTAATCCGACGAAAGAAGAGCTAACCGACTTTGTAAATAGCAATTTTATYAGCGAGAATGAAACGGTAAGTTTAAGSTAACTAAATTARAAATAATTTATTCATGTCCTTAGTGAAAAAAACCAAAATGCGGTATGAAATAGTAAAACGAACCGTACAAAATGTACGATACAACACATGCACAAAAGTAAAACATATTTTCGCTGGTATGATAAAATCAGTGATTCCGCATAATTGCGCGTTMTTGGAAAATTTCATGCTACAAATCCGAAATAAGCAAGTAGTGACTTGAAATTTTTACAATCTACAGAAGRCAGCTGACTYTACGAGTTTCGCAACTTTCGCTCAAGTCACCTTATTCATTTAGTTTTTSGGACTTRGTAAAATRTGCCCTAAAAWTGCGTTTTTYYACAAGTGCACCTTCTCCTTGAAAAATTCGTAAMTTTGAGTCCAAAGCAAATAGCTTCGTGAAATATCCACAATCGGCAGAAGACCKTTYTAGCTCCGAGTTCCGAAAATTTCATTCAAAACGCCACAATTTCCGATATTCTAAAATAAGCTAAAAATAAGCGTTTTCTCGCAAACCCGCTCTATTAAAAAAAATCATAAATTCGAACACAAAGCAAAAATCCACTTCACATTTTCACAGGCTAGAGAAGATAGTTTAGGTTGAAACTCCTGAAATTTTTGATCAAATCACCAGTTTTTTTAATTCTTCGGGCTTGGTATAAGTTGCCCTAAAAATTTCCATTTTTGCACAAATGCGCTTTTTCTTAAAAAAATCGTAACTTTGAATCTAAAGCAAATCGCAACTTAAACTTTTCACAGTCCATCGAAGACGAAGAAGAATTTAACTAAAATTCCACAAATTTGTGATTTCCAAACTTGCTAAAATTTGTCCTGAAAATGAACGTTTTCTCACAAATGCGCTTTCTCTTAAAAAACATAACTTCGAATTCGTAGTAAGCCAGTAACAACTTAAAATTTTTATACTCCAGAATTAACACTTGAACCTGAAAGTGTCGAATATTCCACTCAAATCGCCAGAATTTCTGATTTTTTTGAGTTGGTAAATGTTGACTTGGAAATGAGCGTTTTGGCAAACAAGCGCTTTCGCTTGAGAAATTCATCA